GAGAGCATGCAGAAGGGTCGTTCAGCGTCAGGCCCCAGTGTTGTATCGTGGTCAGTCTCTGACACCTCAGCTGCTACGTCGCACAGGAAATTGCCCTCCCGCAGGACCTGGCGTGCCATCTGTTGCTGCCACTAGGACCCGACGAGCAGGCCAGAAGGTCAGGCCGGTTCGCGTCATGTCTTGGAATGCAGGACACTTGGGACATCAGCAATGGGCTGAGATCAAAACCTGGCTGCAGCTAGAAGCTGACAAGGTTTGTGATGTGCTAATTCTGCAAGAAACGCACTGGCAAGAATCAGCTGAATTTACTGTTTCGGGATGGTACTGCATCTCCTCAGCCAGCAAGCATGCTGCAAGCCAACGTAAGCCTCGCAAAGAGCCGAAGCAGTCGAAGGATCCCCAGTCCGCCAGCTCGGCTCCGTCAACTACGCGTGCAGATGGCCTGATGGTGCTCCTGTCTCCCAAGTTTCACTCGAAACAGATCAGATGGAAAGAGTGGACAACGGGTCGCGTCTTGGAGGTCCGAGCCTTTCTTGCGGGCTCTCGCATTACCATTCTTGCGGTGTATCAGCATGTTTGGTCCTCCAACAAGACACAGCAGGACAACAAGACTGATAGGGCCTCCGTGCTGTCTTCGCTCACCAAGGCGATAAAACAGGTGCCGCAGCGGGACACACTGATAGTGGCTGGCGACTTTAACAGCTCGCTGAGCCCGACGCAGTCGCTTGTAGGGCCACAGACGGTGCAACCGGAGGACGTTAGACCAGACGAAGCCAGCTTGACCAACCTGGTCAAACGGCTAAGGCTCGTGGCTCTAAACACCTGGCACTGCCATTCGCCCCACACATTTGTACAGGGCGACTCGCGTACTCAAATAGATTTTGTTTTCACTCGTGAACCCAGCTCGGGATCCCAAGCCACGCGTGCCTCCCCCCTAGTGGATTTCTACCTTGGCAGCTGGAAAAAAGGGGGACACTTGCCCATTCTTGCGTCAGTCCCTACTATGCAACATTGGCTGCTTCCCAAACGCAATCCTGAAACCCTAGCCTATGACCAGACTGCCCTACAAGCCTCGGTTAGGGCGAGCGATGCTACATCTCAGGCCATGCAGCGCTGGGTAAGCGAACGCATTGCTGATTTCCAGGACCCTGCCGCGTGGAACTCGCTCCTGTGCACGGCTGTGCAGACATTTTATCCGAAGCCTAGGCGGACGGAGACGGTTGCTCTGGAAACGGTCACTCGTAGGATGTGGCGCACCAAAATTCGGGCGGGGGAGCTCCCGGACCCATCCTCAGATGCCAACGCCCTTGACGCTTCCATATCATCCGGTACGCCGGCGCAGCCGTGCAGTCCTTCAGCAGCAGAGCCGATCTCCTCGGAGACCTCAGACCGGCCTTCGGCCCAGGAGCAGCATCGGAAAGCTGCCAAACAGGCACAGAAGGACCGCATCAACCGGTTCTTGGCTGAAGTGGATCTGAACATTGCCGAAGGTGACCAGCATATTGCCTTTAAAACTCTTAAGCTGCTTCGACCCTGGCAACCGGCACGCCGAGCACAGCTAAAGAGCGCTGGCAGGCACATCTTGTCGCCGCAGGACGAGCTCAGCACGCTGAGTCAGTATGCTAAGGACATTTTTGCGGCACACCCCCCCCTGCTCCCAACGCAGGGACTCTTGCCGCATCTGGACGTCACGGACTTGGCTAAGCACATACATTCCATTAAGCCAGAG